CAGCGCAGTCACCGCGCGGGGCGGCCGCCCGTGAGGTAGCTCTCACGGCTTGTGACGACGAATAAAACTCCCGGACAGCGGCGCCCTCAGCGACAGCTGGGTAGGCAGCCCCGGCCTGGTTCCTCAGGCGCGACATGAGCCCAGTCTGGCCTGCGCGGGATGCTCCTTGAACCCGTTCTCCGATTGTTACCTCAGGGGACGATTTTGGCCACAGCAACACGTATTTTCCATATATATCATTGTTCACTCGCGGCGGCAGCGGGGCTGAACACCTTTATTTTTACTATTATAAGCAAGCATCTGCCCAGCATTTATCCAGTGAAACAACTTGGTAAGCGTTTGGAGGGAGCAGGTTAGGAAATCATAGAGCTCGTCTCTCCTCAAATGTCTTTGAAGATGGTTGCACCTTGTAACTTCTTGTGTGCGCAGAAAACCGCTCGAGGAACGTCATGGTCCCGCGATGCAGACTTACAGTTTGAAGGTTTATTTCTATTGCCAGATGGTCAGGAACTCCCACAACTATCAGCGGTCAGCTGCAGTAGGTCCCAGGCGCCTTTCTCTCTCCTCTTCCAGACTGTTCAAGCGCTTTTGTTAAGGTGGCCACACATGTCAGTTCTGCATCTGCAACTCAGATTGGAAGAGGAGATGGAGCAAGCATTTTCCAAGAAAGAGAAGGCCACCTAACCTTGGTTTTCTGAGTAGCTAATTGCTTTATTCGTCACAGCCATGCAGAATAGGTGAACGTCCTTAAATTCATGATCTTGATCCAAGGCTGTTGGGACAGGGGTACACATCTGTGAAGTGACCTAATTCACCCAGTTCTCCTAAAAATGTTGTCTTCCCTGACTAGAGATTAGTAGTCCTTTCATAGAAGTGGACTCGATTTCTTTTGCCTTTTATCACTTTTAAAGATTTACTTGTGACCAATGAAAACTGTAACTGTAATCTGCTAACATTAGTGGCTGGATGAGTGGCACGCTGTCATGTCCACTTTGGGGTATTTTACTCAGCTCATGTAGAAAAAGTTGGGGAAAGGTCAAACACTGACCATCTGAGCTGGGTAAAAAGGAGTGATAGAAGCTAAGGGATCAATTTGTCAGTGTTACTTCTTATCTCTCACTAGAAGAAATTGTTGATTTTAGGCTGCCAAAATCTCACAGGCTCCTTTTCCTAGGAAAGAACTACCTTCTCAAAGCTTTTTTGTTTGTTTGTTTTTGGTACTGGGGATCAAACGCAGGACCTAGCACTTGCAAGACAGGTGGAGGAACCACTGAGCTAAATCCCCAGCCCCTCAAGCTTTTAACTGTGTGAAATTAAGACACTTACATCTGGGTACAAAAGGCTTTTACCAGAGTGGCTGTCTCGTGCATTTAGTAGAAACAACCATTTAACTAGGTCAAGCGGTGTTGCAAGTGCTTACACTGCTGTATGAGAGCAGGAGTTAATGTTGGCATCTTGCTACAGATGTTACAGATGCAAGGCTCCTTGGGTTCAAATACCACTTGTATCACTAACTCTCAGTGTCCTCATCTTGAAAATAGAGATAATAATGGCACCTAATATGGTGGTTTTATGTGTAAACACATATAAAGTGCCTGAAACAGTTCTTGGTACACGCTAAGATTTATTGGCTATTATGCTCCCTTTATTCCACCACAGGGGCTGGAAGGTGAAGTGCACTGTTGCCTTGAACCTGTGGAACTTGATAACCAAGTACAAAATTAAATTGCTGACCAAGCCCTGTTTATACTTATAGCTAGAAGAACCTGTACTGTCCTCATAGAAGAATTCAATACAGGAAAGAGAGACAGCAGCAAATGAAGACTATAAAAGAAAAGAAGAAAGAATGCCAAAGATTGAGGTAGATTAGGTGACAAAAGAGAGTTGGGAGAAATTGACCAATGGCTGGTGATATATGCTGCACGTTTTTTCCCCTTTTGACCTGTTTTTAGTGGGTAGGGTTGAACAGTGTGAAAGCACATACTGGTGATCACTGAAAACTGCCTTTCCTGTCTTGCCAGTGCTATCTCTAGCAACAAAGTACTGACTCTGGAACTTTACTATGTAAATTAATATCTTGGCTCTGTCACTTGCTAAGTGTCCTGGGATAAATCATTTTTTATGCCTCAGTTTCTCTCTTGGAAATTGTGTATAATAATGGCATCCATCTTTTAAGTGTGTTTTATAGAACTAATATATGGCAAAGTGCCGAGGATAGGGCCTAGTAATGGGAAATGCTCGCTCACTCAACTTCAGTATCACATCAGCATTGTATGGGTGGTCCCACCTGAAATTGAGTACTTGGCAGAAGAAAGGGTAAAAGAGTGAAGGGGACTTGCTGTTGCATTCATTTAGTCAACACAGGCAGTACAGGCAGCTGGCATCAGAAAGATTATTGCAATTGTACTTTCAAAAAATGAAGCTGGGGCTGAGGATTTAGCTCAGTGGTTCGGTGGCCTGCCTTGCAAACGCAAGGACCCGAGTTCAATCCCCGGTACAAAAAAAAAAAAATATGAAGCGGGATGTGATGGCACACACCTGTAATTCCAGGTACTTGGGAGACTGAGGCAGGAGAATGGCAAGTTAAGAGGCCAGCCTTGGCAACTTAGTAAGACCCTGCCTCAAAATTAGAAATTTAATGAGCTGGGTTATATAGTTCAGTGGTAGAGTATCCCTGGGTTCTATCTCCAATATTGTAAAATAATACAATTAATTAATTAAAAGAGATTGATATTTTAGCCTTTAAATATTTTGGTCCTCATCAGACAGGCAAATGACATTTTAAGGAAAATGTTTCAAGGGTTGTCAATAGGGTACTCAAAGACCACCTTGCACTTTTTTCTCTTATATAGAAAATCTGCCAGGACTAGGAGAGTAACCCAGAGGAAGCCGTCTTCAGGGCCTGGTAAGAAAGATGAGGTGTGCTGCCTTCAGACCTCTACTGAGAAGGTCATCTGTGTGGGCCAGTAAATTTGCTTCTCATTGTCAGCCCTACTTCCTTTCTAGATTCTCTAAGATCCTGAAGAACTCAGGGTCTTTAATTTTAAAATTAATTTAAAGTTCAAGAGACAAAAAATATGGAATAGTTGCAGCCAGCTCCTTCAGTGTGACCAAAATTAAATCAAATCCTGATACCAAATAAGGCCTTATCCTAATCTTTTTCCTTGCCAGTGACCCTTTTCCCAGTACAGATGTTCCTTATAAATTTTTACTTAGAATTCTTTGACTTTACAGTAGTGCAAAAGTGCTATGCATTCACAGTGGAAACTATACTTTGAATTTTGATCTTTTCCCAAACTAATGACGTGGTGTGTGACATTCCCTCACAATGCTGAGCAGTGAGTCACAGCCCCCAGTCAGCTGCACAGTATGAGGGAAAGCAACTGATACTGTACAGTGTGTTGTATGGTAAGCTATGATGTTTGATAGACTAGGTGTTTTAAAAGCTTTTTTTTTTTTTTTGGCTTCTTGAGATAGGGTCTCGCTGTGTAGTTCAGGCTGGCCTTGAACTCACTATGTAACCCAAGCTGGCCTCAAACTCTTGATGGACTTTATGTCTCAGCCTCCCAAGTGCCAGAATTACAGGCCTGTGCCACCATGCCCAGCTTAAATGCATTTTTTATTGATATTTTCAACTTATAAAGGGACATATCCCCTTCATAAATTGAGGTGCATCTGTACTCCTTGTACCTAGATGGTTAGTTCATATTCCTCTTCCATTCTTAATGGTCGACTTGAGCCAAGTCTATAATTAATTCTTAATATTCACTCTTCCAGTTTGCCGGCTATGCCTCCAAGAACCTGGGGATCCTGAAAAATTAGGAGAATTTCTTCAGAAAGACAATCTTAGTGTGCATTATTTCTGCCTTGTGAGTAAAGACCTCTCTTGCTTTGTCTTAAAGTTTTTAACTATACAGGCGTCTTTTAAAAGCATCTAGCCTCAGATTTAAAGCCTTGTTTGTTTTTCATAATACATTTTAAAATATACATACCTGGTATAAAAGCCCAACAGTGTAAAGTACATACCATAAAAAGCCTCTTCCTAAAATAATATTCCCAATTTTTCTCCTTTTCCCCAGAGACAAATACTGTCAAAACCTGGGATGTCTTTCTAATATTTTAATATTATTTTATTAGGTATAATTTGCATACTATAAGATTTGCTAACTTTAATGTACCATTTGGTGAGTTGTGATAAATGTATATGTACTATCACATAAACACCCTCCTGATCAAATAAGATTTCCATCATCCCAGAAAGCTGACCTGCCTCTTTCTGGTCAGTCACACCTGAGATAATTGCTATTTTGATTTATAGATTATTTTTGCCTATTCTTTCAGATTATATAAATTGAATCTACTGGCTTTTTTTTTTTCCTCCCAAAATACAGTGTTTTGGAGATTACAAATGAATTGCATTTTACTTATCTCTTCATTGGTTGGTGGACATTTAAATTGTTTCCATTTTGGGACTGTTGTGAATAAAGCTGCTATGAACATTCATGTACAAGTCTTTCTGTGAACATGTGTTTTCACTTCTCTTGGACCGATGCATAGGAGTGGATTTACTGGTTGTGTGCTACATAGATATTTAACTGTGTGAATTTGCCAAGTCATTTTCCAAGAAGGTTGTACCAGTTTACATTTCCACAAGCGATTTATGAGCATTGTAGTCACACAGTTTTCTTGTCAAAGCTTGGTTTTGTCAGTCTTTATAATTTTAGTCATTCTGGTGGATGCATGTCAGTATCTTGTTTTAATTTGTTCTTTTCTGATGACTAAAGATGTTGAGCCTCTTTTCATGTACTTTTTGGCCATTCACAGTTTCTTTTGTGAAGAATCTAGAAATATTTTTGTTCATTTAAAAAATTGATTGTTTTATGTAATTATTGAGTTGTTAGAATTGTTTATTTTGAATTCATATTCTTTTCTATGACCATGCAACCCTGAACACACCTGATCTTATCTGAATATAAATTCTTTTTCAGATGTATGTGTTATAAATATGTTCTCTTAGTGTGCAACTTGCTTTTTCATTTTCTTAACACTACCTGTAGGGACGACTTTGTAATTTTGACAAAGTTCTACTTTTTTTTCTTTTTTGATTAGTAAATATGTGTGTGACCTAATAAATTTTTGCCTATCCATTGAATTAGCTAAATACCTTTATCAAAATCAATTGATCACATATCTGTAGATCTGGATGATCTATTTATGTCATTCATCTGTATGTGTCTTTCCATATACCAATACCCCACTGTCTTAATTATTGTGGTTTTATTATGTTTCAAAATTAAGTACATAAGTTTTGGAGTGTTTTCCAAGTTTGTTGTGGTCCTGTGGGTCCTTTCTTTTTCTTTATAAATTCTATATTAGGTTAATCATTTTTTCTTTTTTTAAAAAAACCTTTTGGGATTATAACCCCAATTGCCTTGAATTTATAGATCAATTTGGGAAGAATTGAGAGATAATACTGAATGTTGGACATGGTATATTTCTCTATTTATTTGGGTCTTCTAAAAATTATCTCAGCAGTGCTTTACAGTTTTAGTGAAGAATTCTTGCACATCTCTTGTTAAATGTATTCCTAAATATTTTTTTCGTTATGCTATTGTAAGTGGCATTTAAATTTTTTATTTTCAAATTTGTTGTTGGAATAGAGAAATGACAGTTTATTTTTGTATGTTGGCTTTATCTCCTGCAATCTAATTAAATTCTGTAATTGTTGCTGGGCATGATGGTGCATGCCTGTAATCCCAGCACTCGGGAGGCTGAGGCAGGAGGATAACTTCGAGTTCAAGACCAGCCTGGGCTACATAGTGAGTTCCAAGGCAGTCTGAATTACATAGTGAGACCCTGTCTCAAAAAAAAATTCTATAATTGTTTTTCTGTATTTGTTTTGTTGTAAATGCATTAGGTTTCCCTATGTACCACAGTTATGTCATGTAAATAAAGACAGTTCTGGTCTTTCTATTCCAATATTTGTCTCTTGTTTCTTCTTCTTGCTTTGTTGTGCTGGCTAGGACCTTCAATATAATGTTCAATGGGAGTGGAATGACTAGTTATCCATGTCTCATTCCCAGCATTAGGGAATAGCATCTAGTTTTTCATCATTAAAATATGACATTAGCGGCTGGGGATTTAGCTCAGTGCTTCTGCCGCCTGCCTCACAAGGGCAAGGACCCAAGTACAAAAAAAAAAAAAAAACTATCTATCTATCTATCTATCTATATGAATGACGTTAGCTGTAGGGTTTTCTTTTTAATCAGATTGAAACTTCCTTTTTTTTTTTTTTTTTAATTTACTGAAGGTGTCATGAACCTGTATGGACTTTTGTCAGATGCTTTTTCTGCTTCTTGATTTTTTGTCATCATTTTTGTAACTGTGCTTTGGTACATCAACTGCATTCTTAAACATTTAATGTTAAACTAATCTTGAGTTCCTGGTATATGGTGCTGAATTTGGTTTGTGAATATTGTGCTTGATTTTTATATCCGTGCTCATGAAAAAGATAAATTTGTGATCTTTCTGTCTAGTAAATGTTGCCAGGGCTTGGTTAATTCTGATATATTTACAAGCAAATGCAATTTTTTCCTCCATTACTGGGGATCAAACTCAGGACTTTACCCTGCCAGGTAGACATGGTGCCGCTGAGCTACATCCTCAGCCCTAAGCAAATACATTTTTTGCATGTGTGGTACCAGGGTTTGAACTCAGGACCTTGTGCTTGCAAGGCAGGCACAGTGCCACCAAGCTAAATCCCAGGCCCATAAGCAAATATATTTTTAACCTAAAAATAAGTATACTGTATACAATGTTTTTTAATCTTGTTTTATTTTTATTTTGTATAGTTTGGTGATCTTTTCATGTAGAATATATAGTCATAGTTTTTTCTCTTTAACAGTGAATTGGCATTTGATGTGAGTGGGCCAAAAAGTACTAAACTCCTATTAAATGACACTTAGATTGTTTAATGTTTATTGATTTTTTTCTATTTATAACTGTAACGTGCTCATTGTAGAAAATGGGAATAACATTTAAAAGTATAAATAAAACAACCCATGAGATATTAGTGTTAAAATATAGATTATATATTTTAATTGTAATTGGGAGCATAACAGCTATAATCCAAGTGCCCTCAAGTTATCTAATACAGTAGGGCCACCTTTTCTATAATGTTAAGTAGTAGACAACCTGAGCTCCCACTACATATTTTATGTAACTACTGCAAGAAGGCCACCACCCTCCCCAGTATTTTTAGAAGGAATCTTCCCCCATCTTGAGGTGGGGGTGGGATGCTGACATTCTCACATTCTCAAAAGAAGTTTGACTTCTTTTTCCTTAATTTCCCATTCTAGACTCTGCTTTGGATACTTTTCAGAAACAAAAGATTTCTAAAGTGTATTTTCAAAAGAAAAGCACAATTTCTTCCTTTCTCCTATAATGCAGAATGATTGTAGTTAGGATGATTTAAAATTCTCTTTCCCTTCAGGTATTTACTGTGTACCTCTGAAGGACAGTGTACCAGGAGGGGTAAGAGTGTGGGTTCTATGCGCCCAGATGTGAATGCCAGCTCTGTTCTTGTCATGTCACCCAACTATATCATTTACCACACTGCACCTCAGTGCCTCCTCTGAACAGTAAGAGTCACAATACCATCTGTATTGTAGGGCTGTGATGAGCATAAATGAATTGATACAGAGGAAGTATTTCTCCAAAATGTTCAGCCCACAATAGCAACAGCGGCCCTTAGCAAATGGGAGGCAGTGTAGTGCAAAGGTACATAAAAGTTTAGGTTTTGGAGCTCAGCAGCCTAGAGCAAGTCATGTCTCTCCTACAGAGAGGGAGATGTTGGGCTTCCAATGATGTCATATTTGAAAGGTGCTTAGAGTACCCATACACAGTGCTATGAAAGCCTTTGTCAAACAAATTGCCCTATAAATGCATATATATTCCACTAAGCTCTATTTCTTAAGTCTCTTGCTCTGTCATCCTTACGCCACTGCTCTATATCACTGATCGTCATCATTGACAGCTGGTTTTGCTGCTTCCCCAGATCCTGTCTAGCAAGCTGCCTCAAAGAGGCCAATCCAACAGAGGTTTCCATGGATTCCTGCCTGAAGACATCAAAAGGGAGGCAGCACGGGCTTCTAGGAAGGTTAGAATCCCTTGAAATGGAGACTTTGGGTTAGGCCTTTCTTAGATGTCTCAGAATCCCTGTTTCTATTCCTTCCCTAGTTGCTAGTTTAGAAGTCAAAGAACTCTGATCCTTCATTTATTTGTTCAGAGCCAGGAATTGAATCTAGGGCATTATAAATGCTATGCAAGTAAGTGCTCTACCACTGAACTACACTACCAGCCCCAGTCTTTCTCTTAAGTCCCAAATTTCTTCTGGGATGTAGTAAAGAGAGCAACAGCCCGAGGAAACAAAAGCAGAATTCAATGCTGCTTGAAACTTCAGTTTTAGAATGTCCTGGAGCTTTTGAGATGACCGGAAAAAGAGAATGGCTATTGCTTCACAGAATTTCCATTATATAAAAGGATGTGCCACAGCGTGTCTGTCTGTCTTGGGGCACTGAGACTCTGGGATCTCATTTACAGATCTGCTTTGTGTGCAAGAAAAAAGGAGCTGCTATCAACTGCCAGAAGAATCAGTGCACTAGAAACTTCCATCTGCCTTGTGGCCAAGAAAGGGGTTGCCTTTCACAATTTTTTGGAGAGTACAAGTGAGTGAGGAAGGGGAAAGTCAGCTGGCCTTCTGCAACTTTCTTATTTAGCTGCTAATGAAATCAGAATACAGTTCTCACAGGCCTGTTTTGATTCACCAGTGAATTTGTCCCTGCTTTCGATAATGAGAACCAGTGTCCTGACTTGAAGATTTCACAGGGGTTTCTTCTTGCTTCCCATCCCCTCCTTAAATTACGAACAGCTGGGGTTCTTAGACAGCTGCTCAGAACTAAGTGGGATTTTCAGGAATGGGAGGATATAGAGACAGTCCCAGGAGCTTTGTTTAGTGAAAGAACAGCCATGAGAAGATATGTGGCTGTTCTTCACCCCGCTTCTCCATATGAGTGTGGAGGCTCCCTGGGCACAGGCTGGATGGCTGATTGCCCCTTATAGGCCAGGCACTGGGAATCTGCATCAGTAGCAAGCCAGAAACCAAGTCTGTTTACCCTGCCATAGATCATTTTGTGGAAAACATCGCCCAACCCAGGACATCCAGCAGGGGAAAGTGGAGCAGGAAAGCTGCGTCTTGTGTTGTGAAGACTTATCCCAGTCAAGTTTTGAGAACATACAGAGCCCTTGTTGTAGTCAAGCTATCTACCACCGCAAATGCATTCAGGTGGGACTTTCTCTGCCCTGGGGGGGACCTTCCACAATTGTCCTCATTCTCTGCCTGGAATCAGGGTACTGTGGGAATGTTGAGGCATAGCTTATCTTCGGTACTCCATGCTGGAGGTCTGTATGCAGGGCTGCTTCTGATCAGTGAGAAGAAACACCAGTCTTTGGTCGTCCTTGGCCTATAGGACCTCACTGATGACAAGATTTAGACTCAGCAAAATCTTCAGGATTGCTAGAGTAATTGGGCTCATTCCCAAATGAGTCAAGGAACCTCAAAATCAGCCTCATTACTAGAATGAGAAAATGGGTATGTATCCAGGTACCTGACCCCTACTGCCAAGCCCCATAGCCAGAGATGACAGGTGAGTCACTCCTGAGAATTCTCTTAAATGTATTTTGGTCCAGCCCTAACACTTGTACTTGCCCCCTGCCCCCTAGCCTTCCAGACTCCTTTGTCTGTACCCCATGGGGTGAGGGTGGGAGTGGTCAGAGGTCTTTTACAAACACAAAGCTTTTCTATGTTCCTCTTACAGAAATATGCCCACACATCAGCAAAGCATTTCTTCAAATGTCCCCAGTGCAACAATCGAGAAGAATTTCCTCAAGAAATGCTAAGAATGGGAATTCACATTCCAGACAGGTACTGGAAATTGTAAAGCAGTAATTGAATCAAAGAGTGTGTTACCTGGATTTCAAGAAAGGAGGGTGAGTGTGAAGATAGTTTGGAAAATGAGAGCTGTGGCACTGCTGTACAGTGAAGAAAGAAGGAGTAGGGGAGTGCTTTAAAATGAGCAGCAAGCGTGTTTCTGAAAAGGGCACTTGGGAATCAGAATTCCATGGGAGGCTGGGTTCTTAAATTCCAAAGCAGAACCACAGAACCCCATGTTTCACTTATCCTGCTTCACAACTAAGTTACCATCCCACAACTAAGCCACTCTCACCCAGTCTTGCTGGAAGTGTTCAGCAGCGTGTGTAACTCTGTGCTTATCTTAGTTTCTCCCTGGTGGACAAAAGCTTCACCAGCCAATTATGTATCCCTTACTCACCATTCCTTCTCCCACTGCAGAGATGCTGCCTGGGAACTCGAGCCAGGGGCTTTCTCAGAGTTATACCAGCGCTATCAGCATTGTGATGCCCCCACCTGTTTGTATGGACAAGGCAGAGACAGCTTTGAGGATGAAGGGTAGGGAAAACTCCTGGCTAGAAAGAGCTCTCCACAGGATTTAGAGTTAGACCTCGGCACAGTTATTAGGAGACAGAAGTTCACTCTGTTTGCAGACCTCAGGGCTAACACAAGCGCTAAGTCCCTTTGACGGGGTAGCGGGTACTGGGAGTTGAACCCAAGGCCTTGTGCTCTGCCCCTAAGCTACAGCCCAGCCCTTTTTAAAATTTTTATTTTGAAACAGGGTGTTGCTAAGTTGTCAGGCTGGTCTTAAAAATTTGTAATCCTCCTGTCTCAGTCTCTTGAGTAGCAGGGATTATAGCTACACACTACCATGCCCAGTCCTAAGCTCGGTGATTCCACCATCTGCCTCCCATTTGAAAGTGAACAGATCTCTCCAGGGTCCGCTACTTCTCCCGCCCAGCGGAGAGAAGCTTAGGACCATTCCTTTTCAAATTTGCTGTGTGAGGGGCCACGTCTGCTTAAAGGCTCCTGGGCAAATGTCTGGGAAGCCCTCACCATAGATAAGGCTGGCCCATAGCAAATATCCCAGAGTGACTGTTTGCTCTGTTTGTACCTACACCCTTCCTTGGATCTTCCTATAGGAGGTGGGGCCTCATTCTGTGTGCTACATGTGGATCCCATGGAACCCATAGGAACTGCTCCTTTCTTAGATCCAACAGCAAGAAATGGGAATGTGAAGAGTGTTCATCATCTGCTTCACTCACAGGTGGGACTGGAGGGATGGTCTGGTCTAAGAACTACGGTGAGGCTGGGGGCTGGTGCCTGGGAATTTAGGAAGGCTTGCCACCAACAGGGGACTTGTAGTGAAGACTAGCTTTGAAAGGAAAGTGGCTAGGGAGGGGCTTAAGGACCTGCATCTGAGAGAAACAGAGGGTTGTGTTTCCTTCCCTACCTTTTTTTCACCACAGACTACATATCTGAAAATTCAAGTGACATCCCCTCCTGCAGCAGCACTTTACACCCCCAGGAACATTTCTGCAGAGACACCAGCCTGGAAGACAATCCAGGCCCTTCTTGGACTAGGTGGCCAGGAGCTTCCTTATTAGAAAAGCCAGACTCCTCTCATAGCCAAAGTGGCCATTCCTGACAGTCCAAGGGTATCGAAATCACTAAGAGCTACAAAAAATCAAAATAACAGCTTTTGAGTAGTTTCTGTCAAGCATATATTGGGTATGAAGCAGTGCTGCTCGCTGTGAAGTTTGGGGAAAGGAAAACTTTGGGCCAGTGAGATGAAGGAAAGGGGCCAGCCCTGAGATTAGAGCTGAGAAAAAGAAGTCCCAGGGGAGCATGAAGAGAGCTCAGAGTCCAGATGCCAACAGTTGAGCATGTGTGTAACCATAAGAAATCCTCTGCTCTTTCTCTCCAAGTCATTCTCCTCTTCTTCCACCCAGATTTTTCCACCTTAATCTGGTATTCACAGGCCCCTTCTTACTTCTTACTCATGTTTGTTATTATGCAAATAAAGGTTTTCTCTCCACTGATGTGTCCTTATAAATTCATTCTGAATCTGTCTAACATACTAAGAAATCTGGAGGGCAGAATGAGCAAATAAGATAACTCATGCTTCTAATCCACAAAATTTAGTAAATTAATGTATAACTATAATTTAGAATATAGTTGTATTTCTTTGAGAGGGAATCAGCTTGCAGGGAAGCTGGCATTCCAGGGGCAGAGATTTATATCATTGTGCAGTCAGTACACAGGTTCTCATCTGGGAGGTGAACCAGCACAGAATCTACAATCAACTGAGAAAAGGTTCATGTTGCAAAGCTATGCCCATGTGAGGCAGAAGGGACTCCACTTACTCTAGGCCACTGTGATCTTAGCACGTCTCTAAAGCATGAGGGAACCACTCAAACTTTCACTGCCTGGTAGCTTGAGTGTTTCTATCCAGAGTAGAATTACAAATTTGCATGCCAGAACATTTCACATTAGGCAAGGCAACTAGGATGGGAATCTGGCAGGAAGCCTAGGGAGAAATTGAGTAGAGCCTATCTTATATTTGTATGTTTTTAAAGATTTCATGGGTTTCAGTTTAGTGGAAGAAACTCAGAGCCATTGCCAGATACTGTATTCTCAGGGTTTCACTGAGTCATTACCACTAACGGTAAAATCATTCTCATCCAAAATATTGCTGAATCCCCCAGACTTACATCCAATACAGTGATTGCCTTCAAATTTGACCAGATTCACTTGTACTTAAATGGAAAATAATAGGTAGTGACTGTTTTTATCAAAGTATATAGGCAAAGTAATACAGACTAAAAAGTCTAATATGGCCAATTCAGTCTATTATGGTGTGGCTCCGTGGGAGAACACCTGCTTTACATGTACAGACTCTGTGTTCAACCACCAATACTCCCCAAAAATTTTAAGTCTAGGGCCAGGGCTTTAGCTCAGTGTTGCCACTGCCTGCATCACAGACGCAAGGTCCTGAGTTTGATCCCCGGTACCAAAACTCTAATAGTACTAAAAGGAGTATAATGAAAAGCAGTCTCAACTTCCTTTATTTCTAGTCCTATTACCTAAGGGCAACTATTTTCCATAATTTAAGTAGTTGCTTGATTTATTAATCTTATTATGTTACATAAAGATTTAGCCCCTTTAGAATCTTCCCGTTTTTTCTTTGCATGTTAAATAGTTGCATTATATTTTTTCTTAAATTAACTTTTGGTGTTTACATTATCATGAGTATGTGTTTGCCATTAAGCCAGACAGTACGATATCTTTACCTTTCCTTTCCTGTGTAATATTTTTTTTCCTGAAATTAGTAACTGCCTTTTATTTGCTATGTATTGCTAGTTTCTCATGGGCCAGACAGTAGACCACTCTCAGCTGAACCTCTTTTCTGGAAGCCTTGCCTGCCTCCTAAGCTGGGTGCCTCTGTGCATCCTGCACAGCTATCAGATGGCTTGCTTTCTTTCTGTTTGTTTTTTGAGGCAAGGTCTCACTATGTATTTAAGCCTGGCCTTCAACTCTTTATGTAGCCCAGGCTAGTCTCAAAATCCAGTGGTCCTCCTACCTGCGCCTCCTAAGTGCTGGGATTACTACAGACATGTGCCATCTTCCTGGGCACTTTCTCTTTCTTTCTCTCTCTCTCTCTCTCTCTCTCTCTCTCTCTCTCTCTCTCTCTCTCTCTCTCTCTCTCATGTGTGCACTTGCCTGCTTTTTTTCTTTCGTTTCCTTTTTTCTTTGATATGTGTATTGGACCTGGGGCCTTTGCACTGAGCAACATCCCCAGTCCTTCTTTTATTGTGAGAGGTTCTCATCACGTTATTGCCCAGGCTGGACTCAAACTTGTAATTGTCCTGCTTCATCCTCTCAGAGTGCTGGGATTACAAGTGTCTATCTGGGCATCCAAGATTTTGTCAGAGGGCTGCAAAAGACAAGAGAGTTTTTAAATTCTGAATTTTCATTTCAAAAGCAACATTCTATAGATGGGACTCCTGTAGTGATCACTTACAACTGAGAATTCTTCCTAGATTAAGACAGACTTTAGTTTCTTAACCTAGAGTTACTATAACTGGGTCACCAGGCACATTCGTAGAGATCTGTGGTAGTACCTTTCCCTTTATAGAAGTCCATTTGTATATTCCTCAGATATGAGAAATGCTGTCTTAGCCAAAAGTAACAGCCCCTAACAGTGCCCTCAACTCCAGCTTCCCTAGATGGGAAGCAGAGCTTGTGGAAGGAGGGGAGGAGGGGTTTTGTCACCCAGACATTCAGCCCTACTCCTGTGTGCAGTTGGCCTGTGGGCTCCTGCTTGCTAGCAGGCAGTGCACGTACCTGCACACACACACACACACACACACACACACACACACACACACAC